AATAATAATAATAATAATAATAATAATAATAATAATTCTGATAATATCAATAATTGTAAAATTGTAACAAAGATACATACAGAATTTGTTGAAGTTGTTGCCACAGTCACAAAACAATTGGTTCACGTTTACGGCTGAACGTCGCCTGTTCATCACCCATATTTGAATTTCGATATTGTCCAAAAAAGTATAGAATACCAAAAATAAATAATAAAACAAATATTAATATGATGAAGACTAAAAGTGCAACGGTAACCGAGTGAACCTTTTGCAATACCACCAACAGCTGTTGTGATAATTCTCGTTGATCATAGTAGAAACTACTGATCTGACGAAACGAATTTTCCAAATCATTTCTGGACATCAAATCATATGGCGACATCACCGACGACGTACACCTTCTGTCCGGTAGCTGTTTGCTGTTCGATATTGAAAATAATTTTCCGTATTTGCTAGTTGTCTTCTACTACTTCTTTTTCCACTTCTTTCTTTACTCAATTCTTAGTGCTTCCTTTTTCTTAACTTTATTTTCTTCTGTCGTCTTTTTTGCCGTTTTCAGTGTACAGTTTGCAAAATCTGTTAAATCCAAGAATAAAATTCTTCGCTGTTGACTGCTATGCCGGCAGTAATATTTGCCCTAAAAAAAAAAGCAACAATAAAAGGAGTATTGCTGCTAAATATAACTATAGTAAAACATATTTTTTTTTTTTTTTTTTAGCAAACAGAATGCAAATTTTCTTTGTCAGACAAAAAAAAAAACTAAGCTATTGCAAAACTCTAAATGAAATTAATTTCAACAATTTTTTTTTTTACGTCTTTTCTGTTCTTTTTTCTTTCCTTTCCATTCCTTGTTGCTGCTCATTCAAAATTCAATTTAACCAGATGCTTTTTTTCTTTCAAAAAAAAAAAGACATTGTTTTTGAGTTGTTCTAACACTTTTAAAGTTTATTTTAACAAGAAAACTAGTAGTCCACTAAGATCATTGCAGTAGATATTAGGCAAAAAAAAAAAAAAATTGAACAAAAGATTGATTATCCGGTGCAACAACTGATTATCAACCATCGACATAGACAACAGCTAAATTTTGGGATATACCCTTAAAAACTTGACTGATATCGATTTTGCTGATAAAACAGTTCTGATGGAGCCGTAAGAAGTTTGAAAAAGGTTTCCTGAATAATCGACATTATGCCGCCGTTATGTTGTAATATGACGGCATAAAAAAAATAAAAACTAAAAAGAAAAATGTGCCATAACAAAAGTGATAAAGTTGAAAGCAATGAACAAAATATTATTATTATTCTTTTTTTGTCTGTCTGTAATGGATGGTTATTAATCAGTTGGTTAGAAAGAGAAAAAAAAAAAGACAAAATATTTCAGTGAAGTAATATGAGCTGTAAATAAAAGAATAAAGTTTGGTTGGATTTCCTTTTTTTTTCTGCTTCTCTTTTCAAATATTTTTATAGGAAAATCTGAAAAGTTGAAGTTCAGCAGTGAAATTTTTGCTTTTTACAGCATTCTTTTCATTGAAAAAAAGTGCTGAAGTTGCCAGAATCTGCTGAAACAGTAACGGTACTTATTATACTTTTCGTGCAACTAACGGCATCATGAAAAAGCGCACAGTTTTTGCATGAGACAATTGGTGTGTGTATTAACAGTTAAAATAGATTATCGGAATGCAGCAGAGAATATTTAAAAAAAAAAAAAGGCAGATGAATTGCAAAGATGCAATCAAACAACCTTTTCACAACTGCTTTTCTTCTTATTCTCGGCATTTAGTTCAATTTTTCCCGCAACTATCATTCCATCGAAGAAACAAAAAAAAAAAAGAAGGAAAAGAAAACCAATACTAAATATTTTTATGTTTTCTTTTTTTATAGCATCAGGAAGAAAAATTTATATAAGTTCGCAGCATAATGAAAAATTTAGGAAACAAAAGTGACAGAACATTTTTCGTAGTTGAAAAAAAAAACAGATAAATTATTTGTGGATTTAACATAAAGATAAAATTATTTTTTTTATACAAACCATACGATAAATAATGACGAAGATGATGACGACAATTGCGAACAAAGCAAAGTAAAAAACAGGAAAAAAAAGGTAAATTAGAGTAGTAGAAAAAAAGCAAAAAGATCGGGAGAATAATTGGATACATAAAAATGTTTTGCTTTTTACATATCTTCAGATATATGTCAGTTCAAATATCCTTAAACTGTAAACAGATGCAAGTAAAAACTAAAAAGTCTCATTGGTTTTCAATCCAATTTGGCTTCTTTTCTATGACGGCCATCACTTCTCAAAACCTCTGCTAGTTCTTCAATTCACAGTCATCTGAAGCAAACTGTAAGGCCGATCAACCAAAGCGCAGAAGCATGAGCAGCAGCACACAGAACATCT